TTTTTTTTGGGGGGGGGAGGGTGAGAGGGACGCTATGCGGACATGGAGTTATTTTAATTCCTAAATGTTTAGTTTTTGTAGTCGTTTCACACATTTTGTAGATTAAACCAAGTTGGATTTTTGTGATCGGACGATCTGTTCGGTCTAGTCATAACAAGATTTTAATTGGCTGTGTCAGTGAAATGCAATATTGTTAGTGTTATAATGTAGCATTCGTAGTTTTTAATAAATGGAAGCCCTGCACATTGCCAGTCGTGGGAGTTGTTTAATGCCACACCATCCTTCCAGCTTGTCAGTGCATGCTGGTGAAGGATGCAGGAGGGAGGTGTCAAAGGTCAGTTCCGGCATGCCTTGTACTCACTATTAATGTTAGCCCTGGCCTCATCGAACTTGGGCTGTGCCAGGTTCTTAGCAGAGTATTGTAAATCACTGTACCACCGCTCCTTCTAGTATACAGAAAAAATAACTATTGGAAATTGGCCATACGGTATAACGTTAACAGCCCTCTACTGAATAAGAGTCTTGAGACTTAAGTGAAGCTTTCCTATGTAAACAAGTATTTTACTTATTAACTGGATTGTAATATAGAGCTAACTAAATTAGCATTTAAAATAAAGAACGGTATTTCATATAAACCCATCGATGCGTCTGCAATGAAGCATTTCTACAATTTTCCATGTTACAGCGCTGGTTCTGTGTTTGTGTATGTGACTTATACACCGCGGTCATTGAATGGGAAAAATAGAGCTCTGAAATTACTTGCACGACTGGGTCCTGACACAAAGCCAAGTCGTTTCAGTTCAGGATGTTTTGATTCTCTTAACCGGATAATCTTATGAAGCGGAACCTAGCCTCAATCGATAATTTTAGTTCAGTGCAACATGTTCAAATCCAGTGAAGCATTTGGCTCCGTGTAAACACATGGAAGTGTAATGGTCATGAACAATAACCATCTGAATGAAATAAATGAAAATGAAAACAATGATTGCACAATTAGTCATGAATGGGTTAAGACGTCACAGGGTAGTTAGTAGTTGTGCATTTTTATGACCAAAACTCTGCAGTGATAAAAAAAAGTTGTTTTTATTTAGTCTTTTAGTGTAGCAGGATGATGTATGCTTGAAGAAGATAAATGTTGCCGTAGCCTTGGTCACATCATTCCGTTGTGCTACTCTATTGCTTTTAGATAAGGGTTTTAATGTATTCACATTACGTGCTTGCTTATTGGCCTTTGCGTTTTAGTGTCAATCGATGTCACAAATAGCCTTTGAAGCTGTCTACCTATGTATTGAGTGGGTCACATTTAATCAGTGGCCTATTTGTTCCCTTTGAGCCTTGGAACGCCAGTGTATATTTACATCTGCAAATACAGGGCAGCAGTAATTATATTTTTGTTCAAGTTATTTCAGTGTAAAGGTGGTGGGAAATATTATTTTAGCTTGTCTGCAATGAACTGTAATATGTAAATACTGGAAAACGTAATGGTGCAGCCCTGCAATTACTCTTTCATGGCTCTGCTGGTGGAAGGTCCTTCACTAGAGGAAGCTCTGAAGAGCCCCTGTAGATGATAATTGGCCTACTCTTCCATGCTGACCTGACATCTTGGAAGAGGTGGGAGAACCCACACATTGCACCACCATACGCAATCCTCTGACCATGGTGTCCTCACTTATTCTGCTGGATGGACAGGCGGGTGGATTGAAAGAAAGTTACCATTCTTTAAATTAGAAAATTCCGATTAAATTTCATGGTTTACATTGTATCTCCTCCAACCTCGAAATACTCAAATTCTCCACCACTCGTTCCTTGGATTTTTCTTTTACAAAACCATTACAATCAACTGAAAAACAACATTTGGAAGATTTTGGAAGATTCCAAATCCTAAAATTAGGACAGATCCAAACTTTCAGTCACGTTTTTTTATACAGTAAAAAAAACCCTGATTTTGTACAACAAACTATCCAAGTAAGTGTTGTCACTTATGGACTGACTAACAAACTGTCCAAAGAAAGTGTCTTATAATGTACATAAATCCATGTAAGGGCATATTTGTGTGTTTTGTTTTATTCGGGCTATGTACACCAGCACAAACATTACGTAAGCATGATGCAGTGTGTTTCTTTGGAATACAGTGAAATTGTGAACAACTTTCACACACACTTGCATCTCTGGCTAGATGACTCATAGATGATTCATCCTATATCCTGTTGGGACATCATTTGCATGAAGTCATATATTACACTGCAAGATGAAAGATATGGTTCAGGGTAAGCCTTGTAGTTTTTCAAATCGTAGGATATAATGTGTTACTTTTTGAATTTGTTTGTGCTTGTCATTTCCACAATCAAAATTTCGATTTTGTGATGGATTAATAATAGATTGTTTCCTGTTGGACATTAATAATTAGTTTGTTGTCAAAGTTTTACCATCCTGAACAAATGTGCAATTGTTAATATTAAATTTCTCACCAGCACTGCTAAGAGTTCTTAATGTGAACATTTTAAAGCTGTGTATCGCTGCATTACTTAAACTCAGAAATGTTTTCACGTCATTATTGTTGTTTAAAAAAAATATAAACAGCCATGTGAATATTTGTGGTCTGGACAGAGTAATGCATTATTCCGGCTTAAAGTAAATGTATTAAAGAAGACGTTACATGAGCTTCCATTATTAATATTGGGCCTCTCACAATTTCACAACGTGTTTATTTTGTGATTGATTATCGCGGAGTGGATGGAGCTCATTTAGCTTCCCTTGCAGAGCGACACGTACGTATGTTGAACTTATTTCGCTCTGTATCTAGCCAACCGTGCTAATCGGAGGTACGGGGGAAGGACAACAAACAAGCAGTTATACAGAAAGGAGTTTTCAATTTCTATTTAAACGTGCGTAGCTCCAGTGGCTTCCGAATATCAGAAGGAAGAGCGTTCCAGACAGCCGCAGAAGCGCTTCTAAAAGCGCACGATGCAGTCGCCGTCTTTGTTTTATGGCCAGCCAAAAGCCTCTGCGAGGATGACTGGTTTATGCCCGTTGACGAGATCGGCAAGGTATTGTGTGTGGTTAATTTGTTTAAGTAAACACTGAAGTGTCACTATCAAAAGTGTTACCATTTTAAAGAAGTTTTTCGTGAGTTATACAAGGCCGCACAAAACCTGTGCACGCTAATGAATGATGCGGATGTATTTGGTTCTAGCTTTCTGTGGGAGTGCACAATTTGTAAGCGCGTATCTATTATGTTTCATTACCAAGACCAAAGAGTTGCGTTATTATGTCTTCCAGTGCCGCCATTCCCAGCTTGTTATGTGAATATTGCCCACTCGAACACATGTTGAGTCATTACGACTTTATCTTAGCATAATCGTACAGGCTTCCAAAGTGTGGAGCCATCTATGATTATATGAATGTTTTAAATACATTGTTTAGGCTGTAAAGGCAGCGAGACCCTGTGAAAATGATAATGCTCCCTCGCTGATATTCTTACTTTTAAAGTACGTGTTTTGGTAAGGTTTATTCATATTACACTTTAAAATGTGACAACATCAATTCTACTTAAAAGTGAAATTTAAGTTGCGTTTGATTCTTAGAAAGCTGAGTTTTCCCCAAACATTCACGGTTTTAATTATGCTCTTTAATCCCTTCAAGTAAAAAGATCAAAACGGTTTTGGATCATTATACCGAAATTTGTCGCGATTATGGTCCGTTTTGCTATGTTAGGAAATAATGTTACTTTGGAGTAAAACAATGTATTATCCAATAAATATGATGTTGCAGAACACTGCAAGTAAAGCACGACTTGCTATATTCTCAAACTAACATGCAAAATTATTGCATTATGAGCAATAACAACAGTCGAAGTTATAGACAGAAAATAGGGAAATACAAAACAGTATCTAAAACTGTATTAAGTGTAATATTGGTACAAAGCAAACACTTTACCGATGGAACTCAAGAATGTAGAAAGTTGTCCTAAAATGCCGATGGGAAAACCTTGCTCCAGAAGGCCCGCACGGATCGGCAAAAAAAAAGTTTTGGAGCGCGGGCTTTTTATGTCCTTGCCCCTCACATTTGGAACTCTGCCTGAAGAACTGCACATGACCGCTGAGATTCTCCCATTTGTAAAGAAGCTAAAAACTTGGTTATTTCCTATGGTATGTTAGATAAAATGTGTTTTTTTACTGTATGGCGCTCTGAATCCCTTTGTGTGGGAGTCTGTTGCGCCTGAAAAATACGTAAATAATAATTAACTTAATATTAATTTGTCTCTAGCTACAGTGTGTTGCAGCCTTCTGCCTGCCACCTCCCAACTCTGATTAAGATGTATTTCAAGGATTATTGACTTGCACATTTGACTCTCACCAGCATGTTTTATATATGGAAATAGCAATTTATTCTCACGATAAAATCAATCATAAATCATACCACGATTCATTCCCCCCTCCCAGCAATTTGAGCATTATGATCTTCATATGAATATTTGTTTTTGTTTGCGTTGTATCCTCGACTGTCTCGTTTGTGGTGTTATTGTTTTTTGTCTTGTACAGTTTTGTTGACATCATTAGCATATACGTAGCAGAAAATTAATTGCAAAACTTTGTTCTCACATACTTTGATGCGGGTATTGTGAGTGTAAGAATAGATTTTAATGAGAATACCCTTCCATGCATTGTGTGTGTACTAATAGGTTCTTAAGGCTCGATACATGCATAAAATCACGTGTTAATGTTGGTTTTTCAATGCTTATGAATTATGTGCAGGCAATGTACCAGCCTTAAAATTGAGCTAGTGTGCCGAGACACAAAAAACAGGAAATAATATCAACAAGGCCATAAGGTACAGGACGAAAAAACAAAGCATTTTTTTGTATCAGAACGCTGCCCTGAATCTCAACAATTCATCCATTGTGAGTCGTCGGGGGTGGGTGGGGGAGAGGGAGGGAGGGATGAATTGTTACATTTCTACAAAGTTATCACATCTTCACTCCACTGCGCCTCGTCCCGCAGTGTTGCTGCGGTTCCGAATGGAGCAGGGCCGTGACCCGGCGCCACAAACCCAGACGGAGGACACGGAGCTGCTGCAGCAGCTTCGCGACGCCGTGATTGAGGAGAGCGGCGCCGGTGGCGACATGATTCCCGACGGATTCGCGAGGTGAGCCGAGAGCGGCGGGGAGTGGCGGAGAGCGGCTGCCCCCCCCCCCTCGCTCTCGTCGCCGGGATGGATTCCTCAACAGTGAAAAGCTGGAAATGGCTTCTTCCTGTTTTTTAAGCTTGGGGGGATATTTTCCCACACGAGTGAGCAGCGTCGCAAAATGTTGACTCCCTTGGGCCGTTGTTTCTGAGTAATCGTACACAGCACAAAAGTTATTTTTGAATTGCGCTCGTTGCTCGTTATTGTCTGTGCCCCCCCTCCCCTTTGCTGTCACTGTATGCATCGAAGCAAATCGCTTTCCCTTAAGTCAAAACACATGTTAGTGTGTGAAAGTAGCTGATAAAAAAAATAGTTCGGATGGTCTGTGTCGCGTCTTTGGCCAATTGTGAACGGTGCTGTTTTTAAACAGATTTAAATTGTTCCAGCAAACCTTGTGGTCGCTTAAACAATGTGGCTTCTGGGTTCACATGCTGTTGTGGCGGGGGTCAAGACGCTTGCATAGGCACCATAATAACCGAGTGCCGCCATGTGGGTGCTTCGGCAGAGATTTGGCCGAGTTAATGTGTCGCTTGAAGGCTGCTCAAGCGTAGATTCGGCCCGGTGCAGGCACTCGACATCTGTGGAGGAGCTCAGAATCTCGAGATGACGTGGGATGTTTTTCTGCAGATGTCTCCGTCCAGGAGATAGCAAAATAGCAAAATGTGCTGAATTGTGCGTGCGTCTTCAAAGGCAACGTAAAAAAACGGTATCTGTGTCGTAATGAAAATAGTATAGAATTGTAAATGTGTATCCCCCATGTGTGATTATTTAATTATGTTTGCGGTTTTGTTTTTATAGTTCCTGTTTCTCGGAGCTGAGCCCAATTTGTGCAGTGGTGGGTGGTGTCCTCGGTCAAGAGATAGTGAAGGTGACAAATGTTACATTTTTTGTTGTTTTTAAAGTTTCTTACTTAAAGAAAAAAAACATAGCATGTACCATGTATCAACACACAATATGGCGTCAAAACGATCTGAAAAGAGGGTAATTAAAGTGTTCAAGAAATCGCACCTAAACTTGAAATACGTTCATGCATGTAAATATAATTACTTGTGTTTATAACAATATGGCTTTATTTATGAACAAATTGGGCTTTGAAAAAGACCAGTGATATATTGTTTCTTATTTTCAGTTAGCACTGTTTGGCTTCTTTTTCCTATTACACATGCTGTATGATAATACTAAAGTAACTAATTGAGGGTCCTTCCAACTGCAATATATAACGGTCCTTTTTGGAAATTCTGTTATCCTATAGCAGTGTGTGTGACGTGTTAATGGTTATGGTTAGGTTAGTGGCTATGGCTTGGGCGCCTTCTATCACAGTTCAAACAGGCATGATTTTATCTGTAGCATGTTAGTTACAGCACACACCCTTAAGGTAAACAACAGGGAATGATGAAAAATTAGCTTGCCTGGGTTGCAGGCTGTTTGAAAATGTAGTTGTTAAAAGTTTTTTTTTCACGGGTTATAATCCAAATGGTTAATAATCTGGATTGCAAGTAGTTAAAATTACAATATATATTGTATTTGTTGCCTGTAAAAACAAATGGGTACAGTTGTGTGTGCATATAATTAGGTTAGTGCTATCCATCCATTGTTGTAATTTTCTTCACGTTTAGACGAGTGTTATTACGTGTTATTACTTCGTGAACTTTTTTTTAACTAAGAGCTTAACAATACGATTTAAGATTTCAATAACTCTTCAAACATTAAATGTTAAGCTTCACTAACGTGTTAACATGTAGTGTTTTAAAGATACGCAGCAGTGGAAAAACAACAAACAGCCAAAGGTGATAACACCTCGTGGCTTGGCTATCAAATGTGCCGGAATTTGCAATTGCACGGGGTGGTCCACAGGCCAAGGGGGGACCCATGCGCACGTTGAGTTACGTAAAAGGGTGGAATTTGTACAGGGGGGGGCAGGGGGGGGGGCATGTGATTCCTGCACCAGGAATCAACTCAAAAATAAAGAGTCCTGGTGGTGGTTGTGATTGTTGTTTTACCATTAGGAAAAACATTTGCACGTTTATTATGTCAACAGTAACATTTCTGTGAATTTTTTGCAATTTAGAAAATTTTCGTACACCTTTTGAACAGCCCTTTTATGAATCCGCTCCTGGATGTGAGTCTCGTCATGCTGTGGGGGTAGTGGAGGTTAAATTGACATCTCTACACCACACTGGTTGGTCCGGAATAAAACAGACTATGCTTGGAAGCATAATCAAGAGCAATGTATTTGGCTGCCTTGTCCTCTGCTACTGACAAAGTAACCCCACAGCAGCCTTATATAATCTGTTTTGTATGCATGGTAGTCACATCCATATACTATCCAAGTTATCTGATGGGATGGGGTGCATTCTGAGTGGTTGGTGAGCAGGTCAGTGGTAATCTGACCATTGGAATGTTTTACACTTCGATATATTGACATACTCTGTATACATGGCTGTGTGGTTGTCTTTGTACTCCATAGGCACTTTCTGGAAGGGATGAGCCGAGCAATAATTTCTTCTTCTTCGATGGACTGGCTGGAAATGGAATGGTGGATTGTATTGGGAAGGAGTAAGTGGTAAGGCACGTGTCAGAAGAAGGCTTGGTCGCGTCGTTTATTCCAAAAAAAAAACACTTTAATTTATGTTTTGTACCTGCCACAGATTTTGCCGCTGTGCAGTCGGCATCGGAAAATGAGCGGTCACTTTTCTGAAAATATCATGACTCGTCTCGATTGTGATACTTCGATTGTGTTCTTTGTCTTTTGAGTTAACTGATGAAGTATTGTGGTTATGTTTTAAAGTGTCCAAAAACATCCACAGGAGTTTAAATAAGTTTGCGACAATTGTTTTGTTTTTTGCCTTTTTTCACCTTATAAAAACTGTCCCATTTTAGGTGAACTTGAATATTACTTTTCAGTTTTCAATGCTCACTTAAATCCTTTCATATACTGTAATGTTATGTCCAAACCACTTATAAACATCGCTTATATTAATTGATACTAAAATATAAATAGAAAACTTTTTTCCAAATCGTTTTTAGAATCAATTTTACCATCTAGATTTGTGTATGTTGAACTTCTTTTGCGCACCGCATGTCACCAACCGTGCTAATCGTAGGTGCGATGTCAAATACTTTTTTCAAATTAAATTGACAAGTTAATTACCGTTCATGGTAAATCATAGTGTTTATATATATAAATATGTGAACTATGCCTAACAAATATTTTTAAAAGCAATTACGTTTACCATGCCTCCACAACTAATGGCAGTGCGGAGTCAACGGCACATTTAAACCCAGGGGAAGGGTGTGGAGATGCTAAAATTGGCGTTCTTTATTGTGGCTTCGTGCAAAATCGCAACCGCATGCACACGCAAGCAAAAAATAATAAACAAATAACGTATGGGAGTTTATACTCACTAAATTAGACCTCTGTGTGCTGCCTTACAAACGTAAATGATCAACCAAAAAAATTGTGCTGGTTTACGTGAGAAAACATTTTGGAAGGCCACATTTTCATCAGTTGGGTTCCACTCCCACTCGCAGCTCAAGCAAGCCCGAGTACCCTTGCTCGAGATAAACTTCATCTTCCCACACACACACTATGGCTGTACCCACGAAAAGCACCATTTTGTGTACAACATTCTTTTTCAGCCTGTTCATAAGGACAGTTACTGCGAGGGCAAATCTTTAAGGCTACGCGTCAGCTGTGCAGCATCCATGGCATCCTGGCAGAAGGTTCGAGGTGTGATGGCATCGACAGCTTTGGCCATGATTATATCGAGAAGTTGATCGATTCAATATACTAAAGCCTAATAAAACAGTGACCATCCTTGCGTTGTCTATGGAAACGAAATTTCCACTCTTTTAAGACATGCCACTGTTGCTGACTAAATGTCATGGGATGTATTCACTGCCATTTAAAGAAAAATTACTATTTAAGTGGTAAGTAATATACAACATGTGTGTCTTTAGGAATTGTCAGTAATGTAGACTTTTTTTACCTGTATTTAAATCGAAGTGGTGTCATTTGCATTCCCAGTAGTTTCTTTAGATTTTTGGCTATAGTAGCTAATTCTTGATCTCAAAGGTGTGGAGTTTTATGATGTCTCTAAGGGTCTTTGCATACTATGCAAGCCTTCTTTATTAATTGATGTGTAATTAATACCTCAAAAACGAATATTTGAAGAAGAAAAGAGCGTTTTGCTAACTGCATTCTTTGCCATTTCTCATGGTTAGTATTTGTACATTTTATCAATAATATCCAAGTAATGTTTTTAATGTTACTTTGAAAGGATGTGCAAAGTAGTGAACATCAAACAGCCTTGGGGGATCCGTGCTTGTAAACTGTTGTTTAAACAACATCGAAAAATATTCAGTCACCGAAACCAGCATTAACTGCTTTAAAGAGATATTTTACATGTGTTTTGTCTGTGTGGTGCTTAACTTGAAGTTCAATATTTCATATTTGAAAAGTGGGTTCGGTTTGGATAATCTTGGAGTTATATAAATAATGGACAGTTATCAATTTGTGTTTTGTAATGCATTCAGCTGGACAGCAACAATTTATACTGTTTGTACTTACATTAAACTATCTTCTTTAAAGGTCCTGTCTGGACAGTCTTTTTTTCATTGTGCCATCAGCAATGCATGTATGAAAGTCATTGTCATTGCTCATTCAATATCAAAGGAAGTCTGACCACCAGTAATTCAAGTATATATAAGGCCAATGTGACTGTTGGAGTGTATTCATTATCTTTGCCAGTACAACTTTCTTGACTTGCCATCGAACAAAGACGGTCACTGCATCGCGCACTTTCAGGTGCATTTTTGCGGCCATCTGGAACACTAGAAAGCCCCTGGAGCGATGCGCTTTTTAAATCATCTGGATTGACAACTTGTCTCTTCAGAATTGCTTTTGTGTTTAGTTTTGTCGCCCTTCCCCCGCACCTCCGATTAGCGCGGTTGGCTGCACACGGTGCGAAAGAAGTTCACCATCCAACAAGGATACCCGTCCAATTCCCCTTAAACCACCTCGTCAACATCTGCCTCTCACTTGGGCTGCCAAGCTTCTGTCGGCAAATTGAAGTTAGTAACAACATATGTGCCTCATTTACTGACACCTCACGTAACTTGTTTTCTCTGCTGCTGCTGCTGTACCTTTTTTAATGTCTCCTTTCCATTTCCGCAAGCCCTCTGAAAGTATTAATGGAATATTGCACCCAAGGGTAAATGGATGCGTATGCTACCACTGATACTGGCATAGTGGGTACGTTTTTACGCTTGAATTTAGTAATGGGTTGACATGCAAGAGTCAAGGTTTGGCATGTCCAAAGCTCCTGGTCATTTAGTAGAGCATTTGTTAAACTATTTAGAATGCAGTTTGCAATAATGGATATTGTAACGTTCATATGAAAACAATGCATGCTAGAGCACAAACCAAAGCTCAGCTTTCCTGAAAGATCATTGTTGTAGTAACTAATTCCTTAAAGTGACACACAGATTTGCTGTGTGCGTGCGTGTACCCGTCTCCTTTGCCTCTTGTTCTGTTGTCCCAAGTGAAACAATCTCGGTGGTATTCGCAATATTGTAGTCCCGTCATTCATGGGACATAACAAAACAAAGGTTATCAAGAAAAGATAACTGGATTGTTTGCATGTACGTCTCTATCAGTGTGCAAACAAGTCATATGACTTTTTTAAAATTAGTTTTACACTCAGGCTGGAAAAATAAAGTCTGGCATAACGCCCTTTAGCATGTTGCGTTTGACAGTTTACCATCACAGCTTTGTTAAAGCTTGTTTAGTTTAGACAACAGAGCTGTCCAAGCACGCATGCGTGCACGTGGTCGGTTGCATAATAAACGTCGACCTGTAAATTAAATACATGCACCTGATAGGTTCTGCTCGTGTCTCCAGATAATATGAGAATCATTGATAAGATTTTAAGTGTAATTTTTTTAATTAAATTCTTCATGGTTATGTTTTTTAAATTGTGTTCTTAAATAAAAGTAATTGTTTTTGTGATAGGTCAAGTCTGCTCTCTGGTTGAGAAGTGGGATATATCCGTGCTCCCAATCCTGGCCGGCTGGCTCAAAACATTCTGGGCTAACCTCCGATGAGCACGGTTGGCTATGTACGGTGCGAAAGAAGGTCAACATGCATCCAACATAAACATATAGGTTGTAGGAAATCGATAGAGCAATTCGCATGTTTTGTGGAAGTAGCACGGGTTTTCAACCTGAACGCTTTCAACTAGGGTGTAAAATGTAAATGAACGATCTCTGCCCGTCTTTCTGTAACATGGGTTCATTACAATTAAGGATTCGCCCTTTAGAAAACTGGCCAAATTGATCAAAGCGTTCCCCATTGACACAGTTGCATTGGACATCGCATCACGATGTCACACGTAATGCGCTCACCTCGGCACTCGGTTAAGTTATTGGGCATGACTTGATCTCGCAATTCGTGTGCATCATTTTTCTTCCTTGCTCTTTAAATCCCATGGGGGGAGACCCCCCATTGAGTAATATTGCATGGATGTAAAATCGCCCATGCAACGATGCTCATTGCCATTGGTGTAGAATGGTGTGTTGTATTCCAGCATGAACACCCCCTTTGTCTTTGTAAAGGTTATTTAAATCTGATGGTGAGGGGTGGGTAGGGACAACCTTGTGACGTTTTAGGCCAAATAACTGCACACTGATTGACATCCTCTATATGAATAGATTTTTCTGCACGAGGCATGCGAGGATGCATAACTGTCAACGCAGTACTTACTGATTTCATCCAGCCATTCCCTCCATGGTCGTCAATCACCTCCTTATCACTCTTGTTATGAGCTTGCTTACTATAGCCATGAACTTAACTCGTAGCTTCCCGCACCCGGACTGTTTCGTCTCATCCATACTATGCTCAGCTACCACACTGCAGGTCACAACAGTTCTCATACTGGGGTGCCACAGTGGCGATATTTTAAATGCCTCGCCTCGTATGCACGTCGTGGGTTCAATCCTTACCCTGACGCCTTTTACATTTGGAGTGTGCATGGTCTCGCCGTGGTCGTGAGGATTCTTCTCCGGGCCCTCCGAGTTTTCTTTCCACACATTTAGAAACATGCGTTTCGAGTATTTGACTGCAAAAACTTTCCACACGATGAGCCACTTCGCTGAGCTATAATTTGTGACCAGGTTGCTTAAAAAAAAACAGCTATATCGCTCAGTGGGCCGGACCTGGTAAAATAAAATGTTTGGTTTTAGTTTGATTTTGCTCATTCCCTCGCGGCGATCGACTGTTTCTTTGCATTCTTTTTTTTCACCCCAGTTCTTATGGACTTGCTCAATTTACGAGATGTATAAACTATTATTTCTTGCAATCATAATTCTACCGATTGTTACCGGCCACAACCTTGATTTTAAAACATGAAAGTCTACGGTGCACGTGACACATCAAATGTGACAGAATTGATTACTTATAATTTACACAGCATATGTAAATTGTTTATTAGGTTAATGGAACAAGCAAAACTGTACAACGGTGATGATTAACATGAGACCCGACGAGTTAAACAAACAGTTGTTTTTATCGAATGGCGACATCGCATCACGACAATTTATCCAATCGCTGGGTGAATCATTCCATACCTACAGATGATAGTAAATATTGTATCGTAGGGAAAACTATTTAAATTGTATTGTCAAATGTAGGTATGTATGTTGAGCGTCTTTCACACCGTACTTAGCCAATGGTGCAAATCAGGGGTGTGTGGTAAGGACAATAAACACAAAAAAGCAGTTCCAAACAAATGAGTTTTCAATCTCGATTTCAAAACACAATTTCTCCGCAAGTGTTGACCACATTTTAATTTCTCTTTTGTAGCGTCATTTAATTTATTTTTATTTCTTTGCTGACATTTCCTGCTGCCTCATCCCTTTCCACTAACTTGGGTTGAGGTTCGGATGATTGCGAGGGATTTCTTTTTAAAGCTCCCTTTCTTGAGGTTACAACAATGTGGGTGTGTGGAGGCAGTCTTGCATGCTAAGTTCCGGATAATAACTCAGACATTGACTGAGTCACACATGCGGTGATGACTTATCAGGCAGCAGTGACGAGTGGCACTTGACCAAGAGTAACACACAAGTCCACGAAACACAAGGCACTCAAAAGTTTATTTAAAAAGTATTTACACATTCAGTACAAAAATTAACGCTCAATCGAAAATGTCCGCATGTCTAGTTGCCACTGGCAAAAACATTAAATAAGCATTTCACATATGTACTACAAAAAAAAGATGTGCAAGAAATTTTGGGTTTGGAAGAGATGCTACATGCAATCTGGGTACAAACAGTGCAATTTTATGACAGGTTATTCGTTTGCTGGGAAACATTGCGTCGTTTTTTTCTACAACTAGTCCAAAAATATTTGTACGGCTTTATTCTGTAAAGTGTAAACCAAAACTGCATTCTGACTAAGGATATTTACGGTATTCACCACTAGTTGACAATGCAACAATATTTCAACATTACTTGCTTATGTAAATGTCTGTTAACATTTAATCAGACCTTTTTTTTACTGAAATAACGTGTTAGGTACTTTTTTAACATTTAAAAAAGTGCATTTAGAACAACAATTGTGTTCCTGACATGATCATAAGAAATGGCGGGTGTTACTTAAATACGTATCATACAAACGGGCATGTTGCAATTAAATGCAACATCAATAAACTTTAGCACACAACCACATACCTCTCACTCGCTCAAGCATCCCTCTCTCTGATCCACTCTTTTTTTTTTAGTTTTGCAAAAAAATAAATATTTCGCAAGCTTTCAATAAAAATCAAGCTTCCTGAAATAACTCCGGGTACATTTTCAACACTGAACCACAATCCATGAAATTCAAAGTGCCAGCTTGCACAGTTACTCACAAATGCCCTGCCGATGAACCTTTGAATTCAAAGCCAGCCCATTGTATTACTCTTTAAAATATTGCTGAGATACATCGACCAGCAGATTCTACTGGACAGTGGATTTAATTATTTAATTTCAGCAATTAAATTGTCTTTGCGGGTTGATTTTGTTTGTACCTAAAATCCAACAAGTGTAATATTACAAACTTTTGTTTGTCATTTTGTAAAAGGTCTTTTTTTTTTTATCCTGCCACCTCTTCCTCCTCGCCAACTGATTACTGCACAGATTGGTGAGCTAAAAGAGCATTGCCAACTAGCGGTGATGATAAGTGCTCAATGTTGGGTCTGCTGCACTTGTGTAACCAGCAACATTGGCAATGTGGACTTTGGACCCAGGATAACACCACATCGATGGGGAAGAAAAGTCCCTCAACGCAAACCTGCCAACAATCGTGCGACCTGAAGAGAGCTACGCCTCCTGCTATCGCCATTTCTTACCAACACTGACTAAATCATTTTAATCTGTACATGCGCACACAGTTTATTTACAGGCAGCTACTTTAAAAATGCAATTACAAAAAAAGTTTTACATCAATGTCTTGAGACATTTCATTACTGATGGAAAAAAATTCAAACGACATCAAATTTAAGAAAACCCTAATTTAAAAAATAATTACTTCCCAGTCTAAACTAAAGGCTACATTTTTTTAA